AGTTTTGCCAAATGATTTTTTTATTTTTGTCAAGTAAAATTTTGTGTTACGAGTTTTCCGCCACAAACTTTCCGTAACGAATTGTTGTCAGTCAAAACCTAAGGTGACGAAAAATTATTTTGCCCGACTAATTATTTTCGTTTAGAAAAGGTTTTTTTTTTTTTTTTTTTTTTTTTTGGTTAGGTATCCGAGTAAAAGTCCTGCAACCTAAACAAGGTTGAAGATAATTGGGAAAAAAACATAAACTTAACATAGTTCACTCATATTTTTTAGCCTCTCACATACTCTTATTTATTTATTAAATTGAATAAATCAAACATAAACAATATCCACTTAGCAATGAAAGTGTGCAGAAGGAGAAAAATAGTTTGTGTTTATCATTTTTTTTAAAAGAAAAAAAAATGAAATCTACATATATCTAACCTCTAAGGGTTTCAAAGACCATATTATCAGACAACAAATTAAGAGAAATGATAACCACGCAATGTTTTTTCCTTTTACACATTTCTCTTTATTTATAACCATCACATTGAATAAACGAAACGAAATAGTCAACATAATTAAACAAGGGTGTGTAGAAAGAGGGAAAAAAAGTGTATAATCCTCATTAACACAATTTGTTTTAACATTTGAATTGTTTCCCTATTTGGAAGTGGTGCCGGCTCAACAGGAGGTTATCCTTTTTACATTTCTCTTCATTTGCCTTTCTAACTCAATCAATGCCATGTTAATTTATGTGACACCTAAATCTATGTATTAGTTGTGCCACCGACGGGGTTTGAACATATGCCGTCATGCAAGGACTCAACTCATTTACACCACTGTGGAAAATGGCCACTTGCCTATGTATTAGTTGTGTTTAAAACTTGTTTCTTCTCCATCTACTAATTAAAAATCCTATATGTCAAATAAATCATTAAATTATTCACCAAAATTTGACAGATCTAATTATTTTAATTATTAATTTTACTTTTTATTTATTTATATATATATATATATGCTTCTTTTCTATTTTTGTTAAGTTTTTTCAAGTAGAGGTTTTGGATTATCAACATGTTACTCTGAAAAAGAAACGAGGAAGGATGGTCATGACTTATGGTTTAAGACCAACAATAGCCACTACTTAGGGTGTAGAGTTCCCCACTTAGTGTCAGCATGTTCAAGATTTTGAAAAGAAAGATATCGAGCTCGATGCAACAATGTTTCATGTGTATGTCAAGTTGGAATACAATACTTTCTGTTGAATATAATGTTAGAAGAAAAAAATAAACAAAAATAAAAATGAGAGTCCAAAAGTGAAACTTGTACAAAAGATAATATTAAAAATTAAAATATATAGATTTGTCAAATTTTAGTGGATAATTTAATGATTTGGTTGTCATATGGGAGTTAATTAGGGACATTAGTAAAAGGAGAAAAGAAAAGTTTTAAACACAATTGATACATACATTTAGGTGTAAAATAACTTAAGATGGCATCCATTAAATGGATAAAGCAAATAAGAAAAAGCAAGAGGAAAATATAGCTAACATTCCTCTGGAATAACAAATAAGAGGAGTAATGTAATGGCTACACATTGCTTTAATAGCGCTCTGTGCATGTTGTTTCCTCTTATCCTGCACAAGTGTCAAGTGCCGCATACTTCTCGCAGGAAAACACCTATCAAGGGTGTTGTCAAATCCTTATGTATTGTAATCTTTATACATAATTTATCCAAAACCTCATTATTCTGCAGGAAGACATCCGCATTTGATATTTTATCCTTCTCTACTTTTTTTTTCTCTGGCCATCCTTTTTTTCCATAAAACAATAGTTAAACAAACATGCTAGTCTTATTATATTTTTTATATCATATTTGTACAATTTTTGTATTAGAGATGGATCAACATATATTGGTGGACATTACTTCTATGGGGCCAATGAGAGAGATGGTACATAATGGTAATGTTAGGAATAGCATCTATTTGAACCATATAATGTGGTTGTTGATGATTGGTAGTTTACTACTTAAGCGTTGATTAATATGTTATTTTTTATTGTCGACGTACATCACATGGTTTGCAAATTTTGTCTAAAAAAATTAGTCATTACCCTATACAAAAATGGAATTTAAACTTGAGTGCAAAGCAAATGATTTGGTCCAACACATTTTTTTTTTTTTTTATAATATTGCATAAGAAAAGGATGGGAGCATAAAAAATTATGTTTCATCGGATTTCGATTTTCCGTGGGAATCAATCAATGTACAACAGAAATTAACGTTCAAAAACCAACATCGGAAAGGAAGGGATGCTTCAACAACTGACCGGCAGTCCACCTCTTTCCGACTTCCTTCCGCAAGCAAGCCTCAATAAAACTCTTGAATTCCTGCGAAGCGCCCTCCGGCAAGCTCGGCGGCTCTCCAAAACATATGGCTAACATCAGGGAGGGCCAGTCAGGACTCTGGCCTTGGGGCAAGAGTGGATAGCGACCCACGTAGAGCTCCATGATGGTCAGGCCGAAACTCCATATGTCACTGGCGTAGCCACTGTAAGTGCCACCACAATTCTCCTTGTTGAATCTTTCGGGGCTCATGTAAGCGAAAGTACCGACAGGAGAACTGCAGGCGCCGTCCGAGGTTAAGGACATGATCTTGCTGATACCAAAGTCGGCGATCTTTACTTCCATGTTACTGTTCACCAAAATATTGGCGGGCTTGATGTCACGGTGAGCGATGTTGTGGGTATGGAGATAGTTCAGGCCGCTGAGCACTTGACGGGCCACGTGGGCAAGCTTGGCCTCGGAGAAGGTGCCATTGTCTTTGAGTAAAGTTTCCAGGCTGCCGGAGTCCATGAATTCCATGAGGATTTTGATGTCTCCCAAGGGCTGTTCAAAGAAGGCTTCACAGCGGACAATGTGGGAAGAGTCGGTGCAGCGGAGGATCTCAATCTCGCGGAAGAGATTAGACCTGACCGTGGGGTCTGAATGGTTGCTGACGAGTTTGAGAGCGTAGGTACTGGAAGTCTGCTTGTGGCGAACCTTGTAGACCTTGCCCCCATTACCTTGGCCGAGGAGTTCGAGTGTCTCGAGATCAGCAGCGGAGATTGAAGTGGAGGAGTGGTTGGTGGCTGTCGTCAGTGCGGGAGGATAGACGGGAAGAGAGAAACATGGGCGGTGCACATGCACGGAGAGAGGGGCCAAGGACTTCAGTTGCCGACCTCGAATGAGAGCCATGGTGAGTAGAGTTTTGAGTAACTAGGTCGTAGGGTTTCGAGTACGAAGCAAGGTTTATGGATTATGGCCATTGAGTAGCTAGGGCTTTGATATATATAGTTTTCCTAAAGGGGTATGGATATCCACACACCCTTTTTTACTTCTCACGCACCCTCTTAATTTTCAGCCGTCGGATCAAAATGAATTGATGATGATCAAGGGACATAAGTTAACAAAAGTTATGTGAGAATTAAATAGGGGTATGTGGATGGCACAACCCTTTCTAAAATGAGTAGTAATTTTAGCAGGATACTCGGAACTAGCTAATTTCCTAATGCATCCTGGACTAGTATTCCTAAATCCTAAAACAGTCCTGAATTTGTTTGGTTTCCGAACTCAAACTGGATTTCCCGAACTCAAATCCATTATATAATATATGGTGTCTGCTCTTTCCGTTCACTCTTTACGAAGCGTCGTGACCATTCATTCAACAATGTTCGGAAAAGTATACCACCGTCGCCACATAGAGAGAAGAACAACATCGCCAAATTGGTCTGACCTCCGATCTGAAATATTAGAGTTAATAATGAAAAATCTCTCCTTCCTTGACATGCTTCGATTTAAATCCGTTTGTTCTTCTTGGAATCAAGCCATGAAATGTTATTATGCCACATCGTTTCCGCAAACTTCTCCATGGCTAATGCTCCCTAGTGATCAAGAAAACGTTCATAACGATATTAGCACTCGTTGTTTCTACAGCCTTAAAGAAGATGAAGTTTACACTGTCAAGAACGTGTTACAAGAATGTCATGATGATTGGTGTGTTGGTTCATCACACGGTTGGCTGGTGATCATGGACAACAACGCAGTCCCACACCTTCTCAATCCCGTTTCACGGCGTAGAATTCAACTCCCAAAAATTTGGTCTCTGCAAAATTGCACCAGCAATCCTGACAGCATTGAACAATTGCGCATGACTTTTATTTGCAAAGCTGTTCTCTCCTCCGACCCTTCTTGCAACGGCAACTTTGTTGTTGCGATAATTTATGGTGTGTTATCTTCAAAACTTGGATTTTGTAAGTACGGGGAGGAGGGCAGCAGATGGAGAGGCTTAGAAGGTGTGCATGGAGAATATTGTGATGTTATTTTTCACAAGGAGAAGTTGTATGCATTGGCGGGGGATGGCTCGGTCGAAGTGTGGAGGGACTTCAACAACTCCTCTACTCCCATCAAAACTATGAATCTTCATCAACCATATTTAGAGCTAGAAAACGTAAATCATATAATTAAGGACTTTTCCAAGGACAAATATTCTACTCAGACTTACTTGGTGGAGTCTTTGGGTGAGATATTGTCCGTGGGGCGAGTTATCGGCAACTTTGTCAACCATGAGGGCACGGCTATTCTTGAGGGGGATCTAGATGAGTATGGTTACTTCTGTCCCTACAGAACATTGCAGTTTTATGTTCTCAAGTTGAATTTCACAGCCAATAAGTGGGAGAAAGTTGAATCTTTGCGCGGTCAAGCTTTATTTCTGGGCGGGAATCAATCGATGTCATTATCGACTCCTGATTTTCTAGAATGCGAAGAAAACTCAATTTACTTCACGGACGATCGATGGGACGAGATCAATTTCGACGCCGGCAGTGTTGACGACAATCGTTATGGTGGTCATGATGTAGGAATATACAACATCGGCAACAAAGTTGTGAAGCCAATTTACCAATTTGAGAAGTGGAGAGTTGATCCACCACCCTTTTGGATAGTTCCTAACCCATGGTGAAAGTAGATGGTACACAAAATAGATGTGTTATGTAATCGATCTCATTTCTTTTATATATAAATTAATATTTGAACACCAAAATTACTGGAAGAGGGTGAGGTTACAAGTCAATCATTTCTACATTCTCCAGGTAACCTTCATTCCATACTCGGGATGAGGCACGTAAACAATCTCAAGCGGCTGCTGACTACTGGTTCAGCAGTAGCTGCAAAATATGCTTCTACCGTAAGCAAGATAAACTGGAGGCCACAAAATGTCAAAACGCTTCAGCTTGAGTGAATTCATTTGATTTTGACAATGCTTGTTTGCGATTGATGGCCACGATATTGCATCATCTGGAACTTAATCAGCTTTTGGCGTTTAATTTCTCTAAAAGGATCTTGTTTAGGAGTCCTGGATTTGCTTTTCCTTTTGATAGCTTCATTACCTGCAAAGGGTTAAAATGTTCAAAACCATCTCACTCAACTTAAGAAACACTATTAATAGCTTAATCGTGATTTAAAAACGGAGCATATGGATTACTGTTTCACAAAATTTTACCTGCCCAGCAAAATAACCTTGCAGTTTAGTTTTTCCACCACGATATTGTTCCAGCTGCTTTGGATTCTCCGACACCACCTTTTCTACCATTTTTTCAATCTCAGCAGGATCTACTATCTGTTACAAACACGTCATTAGAGGACCTTAATTTGTTACGAACTTTTAAACCATATTATCATCGTAAGATGATTTTATTTCACTGTTTGATTGGCTGCATGCAGCTGTGCATAAATTTTATATGACATCATCCAACATAAATACTCTCTAATTGGAAACTAAGCAGACAAATTAGTAGGATCAATGAGTTATTTTAGGGTGAGATGAATTGTTATATTGTATTTGAATCTCCAGTGTTATCCTTACTTTAACTCACATAAAGTAGGGGGCAAATAAACAAATCAAAATAATGTCTTTTGACTTCTGAAACTAGATAACATCTGCGAAACATGCCAAAAATAAGATACAATACCACCAATTTTACCAATCTGGTAAGCGGGAAATAATCCAGAATCTAGACGACACTGTTATTTTTAGAAATATTGCGACGATGATGAAGTTAACACAAAAAAAAGAATGAATGCTATATTAGGCTAAGGCACATGATGCTTGAGAAGGTGCTCAACCTTCGGCACATTTTTAATCTAGCATAGAATCGGAGAATCAGATAAAATTACTGAACATCGGATATAAGGGCAATTAAGTTTCAAAGTCAAGACAGACAATTATAAGAATGAATCACACCTCAAACATCTGACCATTTAAAAATAAGGAAAACTAACGAAAAGTCCAAAAAAACTTTAGTTTTAAGGAAAAATGACAAATAAAGGTGTAGTGAATAGTACCAGAGAAAGGTCAAAATGTGGTTTTTCGATAAAAGTGAACAGTACCAGAAGTGTTTAGTTAAAACTCCCTTAAAAATAACAAGACTGGCAATAAGTTAACTTGCCTGTACTAAATCTTTTTCTTCAATCAGCCCCTTCACAGTACCACCCTTGGCTAGAAGCTCAAACAGTATCTGCAAATTCCATTGATCTTTTGGAAATACATAAAATTGTAAATGTAGTCCGAAAGAAGAAAAGAAAACCCATTACCTCTTTCCCTATTTTCCCACTAATAGTCCCATCTTTTATGGAAGCTATTAACTCAGCCAACTCTTTGGGGCTAAGCTTAATCTCATCGATGGTCAATTTTTCATTTTTCATGTAGGCAGCAATATCACCCATTATCCAGTTGGTAGCTAGCTTCACATCAGCACCCTTTGTAATAGTAGTATCAAAAAACTCTGCAACCTATGGTATACATAAAGCAATCAGCCCCGCTTCATATATTACATATGATGCCATTTTTTAAGACAAAAACAAAAATAATAGGCATGCATATCATGCCATTTAGATAATCATCAACCACTTGAACATTGAACTGATGAAATGACTAAGTAAAGGCTTTTCTTAGTAATTTCAAAAGGGAACCAGCCATTGACACTAAAAACATCTAGTTTAAAACACACAGTAAGAGACTGATAGACACTCAAGAGAAAGATGGCCAGACGTCAAACCCGCCAGGTACAATTGCTAGCATTGTAAGTAAATATTAATTTTTCTTTTGATCTTTCTTTCTTTCTTTCTTTGTGTGAATAATGTGACCTCAGGAATATAAAGCAACTCCCAACAGAGCAAGCATTCATAATTTCTACTTCTTTTGTTTCAGTCATAATTTCTACTTCTGTTTCTTCCTTTAACTCTCAAATTCTAGAAATTTAAAGCAACTCCAAGACAGAGAAAGCATTCAGAACAATATTCCAGAGAACTTACGTTTACGTCGTTGGCCAGAAAAAGAACATCCTGCATACTCAGACCCATCTTTTCATATCTCCGACGCTTCGTTTCTGGAAGTTCAGGCAATGTATTACGAATGCCATCAACATAGTCTTGGGTGAGGAAAACTCCTGGAAGGTCTGGTTCTGGGAAATATCGGTAATCAGCAAGTCCTTCTTTCTTTCTCATTGTAACTGTTTTCTGAACAGCACAATAAAGTTAACAGAAGCACGTAGCTGGACACAGAGGAACGTTTTACACAATAAGGATGATAAAGGTGCTATCACCTGAGCTCCTTCTTCCCATAGACGAGTTTCCTGTACAATTTCTTTGTCCTCGCCTTGACTATGAAGAAGCACCTGCCTGGAGATTTCATAATCTATTGCCCTGCTCACAGAGGAAAATGAATTCAAATTTTTTATCTCCACCTGCCAATATGTAATAGGAAGAATTACATCAGTCCCTGAAAACAATATACAATTATACTACAGCAAAAATTGGCCAAAGAGAAAAATAGTCATTACAGTCAGTTTACATTGCAACATTTTTTTCCTTCTTCCAGTCCTTCTGTCTTTCTTATGGTGAGTGGTTGTGTACATGCTATAACTGTGGGTTTCTAATCCAATGCCGTGACTTTGACAGTGATGATATAAAGGCTTGACATAACCTATTTAATAGTGTATTTCTTTATGTTAAAAAGTATTTTCCATAACTCATTATGTCATTCAGGTAAGATCTTTGTCAAACAAAAAATGCTTCCTTTCTGAGAAGATGTCACCAGAGGGTAAAAAAATTATAACATTCTGTGGATATTCTTCAATGCAGGAAACTTTTAGAAATAAGGCATCTTTAATTTGAGAAACAAATGAGAATGCATTGAGAAGTACCAATATCATTCTACCTTTTTCTAAAAAATCGGCATTTCCTTTAAAACTTTATAAAAGTACGGACTATTTGCAAAGAACAAATTCTACTTTATTCCAAGAACCTACCAGCAGTTTCAATCAGTTTCCATAGCTGAAATTTTGAAATTTTGGTAAATCATCCCAGTTCTTTGTTCTCTCTTTTTTTCCCGTGTTTCTCTTTATACTAGATTTGTAGTTGTTAAGAAAAAAAAAAACAGAAAATGTGTAAAGTAACTACTTACCTTTGTCCCAAACTCTATGTTCCCAATTGGTCGAACAGAGATATTCACATCACAACGAAGTGAACCTTCTTGCATATTCCCATTACTCACTCCCAAGTACCGAACCAACCTCTGTAATTCTGCAGCATATTCTGCAGCTTCAATACCAGTTCTCATATCAGGTTCAGAAACAATCTCAAGCAAGGGCACCCCGGCTCTGTTTAAATCAACCTGCATGAAATAAACAAATAGTATCCAGAAAAGTGATAGTGTTAACCTCAGCCTCTCATAACCTTACATAACTATGAGAAGTAGATTTCTATATATGCATAAATAGTAATTGTTATTCCACAGTAAATTCAAAGGACATACAAAACTGAATTTACGCAGTATCCGTAACACAACACGAATCTAATTAAACCTTTAAAGTAGTACAACAAATAAAAGAAAATAGGAAATAAAGAAATTTCACAGAGAAAAAAATAAAAAAACAGAATGTGGTTCTCTATTTTATAACTTATAAGATGTAGAACAGTGTTGATTTAAAAGTATGAAAGGAAAGGTACTTTCCTGTGAGTAACTTCCACCTTCTGAATGAAGCAGCTTCCCTGCATCCTCTTCCATGTGAACTCTTGTAATGCCGAATTTCCTATGCCCGCCACCATACTCCAAAGGAAGATCCACATCAATGTAGCCACCGGTGGCAATTGGAACATCAAACTGTGATATTTGGTAACCCTTCGGAAGGTCCGGGTAAAAGTACTGTTTCCTATCAAACTTTGAGTTGAATGACAATTTGCAATTGAGTGAAAGCCCGACTTTAATTGCAGATTCAATGACCTTCATGTTCAAAACGGGTAAAGCACCAGGCAGACCCATGCATACGGGGCAGACGCTAGTGTTCGGTGGAGAGCCATAATTATACGGGCAACTACAAAAGGCCTTGGTAAGAGTGTTGAGCTGGACATGAGTTTCTATACCTATGACTGCTTCATAGTCCTTTGATGCTTTCTCGAGTGTTTTGTTCTGAATATTCGGTGCTACTTTCACTTGTGGCTTAACCTTATCTGGTGTAGCGGCTGTCTGGGTTTGTGCACTCCTCATTGTGCAATACAAAATGACATCTTTTCTTCTAAGTAGTGCAGTTGGATGGAGCAAACAAGGGTTCGTATGAAGGCTTCTAAAGATCGTGGAAGCCATCTTCGTAACCCAGCTGGATATCAAACAATGCAAGGGCTGTCTTCCCAACCATTAAGAAACGCATGAATTAGTTGAAAAGCAAGACTACGAGTCTAAGTTAACTGTAACAGCTACAACTGAATGAAAGTAATATTTTTCAGGGGTAATATATAATCCTAGGTTTCTAACCGTGCCATTCGCCTATTCGAACAATATATTAGAAAACAAAACATCATAATCCAATTTAAGCCATCAAATACAAACACAAAAACAAAACCCAGTCCCAGTTTCGCCAAAAGGCAAGATTTTCCCACCGAGACAATCCATCAAACAACTGATGGGCATCACAATTATCCCAAGAGCACAACACAAAATGCAAAAAAGGGTGTTCATTGTAATATATTACAATTTGAAAGGCAATCGACAGAATTCAAATGAGGAAAAGGGAAGACTTACCTGTGCTTCGTCGAAGAAGTTATAGGTTGGTTCAGAGTTCAGACTTGCGGTTGGACCGTTGGAGCAGCTCTCACAGCTGCTTAAACAAGAGGAAGAAGAAGAAGAAGAGTAGGGTCGACAGAGGAAGAAGGATGCGGAAGCAGTTGCATTAAGAGATGTAAGTGGAGGCAACAATGGCGGATGGCAAGGAGTGAGTGACTGAGTGGAGTGGCTATAATAGGATCGTGTGGTGGGCGAGAGAAGAGGTCGGGGATATGAAACATGGGATAATTGCGATCACCATAAAAAATGAGGTTCGTTTGTACCGTTGGATTATTGGGTGGGATTTAATCACACATCCACTCCACCGTTGGATTGGATCTTTACTAACAGTCACAAAGCTTTCTCTGTCTGGCGACTTGCGAGCGGAGGCAGATTGTCTGCCCCTGATTGGGTGTTTTTCTTATCTTTTTTTTTATTTAGTGCAGTCACGTTTAAATAACGTGAATATTTTATATTCCTGTATAACTGTATTTTAATAATGTTGACATGCGACAACCATCACCATCGTTTCCTTCCAAACCTTCAAACGCCACCGCCCCCATACATCGGCGAGCGACTCCCACCCCCGTCTCTGATTTTCGTCGCCCTCTGGATCTCTCAAGCTCCTTCTCACAGCTGTCTCCGGATCAATCTCGCATCTCAGTAACAGGCAAGTGAGTTCCTTCTGGTATTTTGGGTTATTTATTTATTTATTTTTGTGTTAAATCATTAATTTCTTTTGGAACAAGGAGAACCCAGAACTTGATCAGCAGTACGTTGTCCGAAAATCGATTTGAGTTGTAGAGTTTCGTTAATTTGTGGACAACAGTGTGCATATATTGTTTGTTCTGTTGTTCTGCAGTGTTTTATATAGATGTTGTGTGTGTGATGCTTAACTGGGTTTGGTGTCTGTCGGATGGTTAACTGGTGGCAACGTCGGACAACAATGCTAATTGCATTATGTACAATTTCTTCTAGAACAAAGAGAACCCACAACACGATTTGAGAAGTACTCCCATGTTGGAAAATTGATTTGGTTTGTACATGTCCTTGAATTGTACAAATTAATGTGCATTTGATGCTGCATTTGGTTTTTCTTCAGTACTTGTGTGTAATGTTTTGTTTAGACAGTGCTTTTCGAACCAATGTTCAGGGAAACCATGTACTAAAGAATCAATTTTTTGTTGTACTCATAAATTCTTACTTTAATATGTTGTCTTGATCTATTATTCAAGACGTTATTGCCTCTCTTCGGTCACATGTTTCTCATGCATTTGTAATGCTTTCAGCCGCGTTTACGTCACAAAATTTTGTATTACATTTTGGGAAGCTCAACCATCTTGTTGCCTGTCACTAACTTGTGCCCATATGCTATAAAAATATGAAAAATTAAACGGAGACTAGGAGCTGAAAACATGCGTTTTACTAACATGTGAATGGAATCTAGTGTTTGTTGGATTGACAATATTGGTTAACCACATTTATTTAGTTGAATTTGCATTAAGATTTTTGTTTCTTGATTGTGTTAGTTTCAGATACAGAGATTGAGAACATGAGTGTTCTTTTTAAGTATCATATAGTTGTAAATATGATACTTATGCGAGATCGGAGTTAAACAAGAAAACTATATCCGCCTCCACATTGGACATATACTTAATAGAATTTCAGTTTGTGTTTTTATAGGTTTTGAACTTTTTATGCAAACAACTTTGTATTCACATTCGTTTGTTAACTCATGAGTCTTGACAGTGTTATAGATTTGAATGGTTTTTTGGTTCAGGAATTTGATGTGATTGTAGGTAAATTTATACAGGGAGCAAATTAACATTTCGATTGATATAATGGATAGCATTTTACAAACTTGGTCGAAACGAAAAGTTTTGTTATGAACTTCGCTGTTAATTTTTCGACAGTTAATGTATTTCAATCCAACAAAAATAAAAACAGTTAAAAAAATTTTATTCACTTCCTATTTTTAATGTGAATTTTTTTATTAGATAGTTAAATTTTATTGCAAATCGAACCCAAAACCAACGTTAGTATTATTACTCGGTTAAGATGTGAACTTTATGTACAGGTACACAAAGATGGAGAGAAGACATGAACACCTTCAATGAAAAAGCTATTTGAACATCTTCAATGTAAAAACAATGCCCGTCTTTACTTTCAAATCCCAGATCTAGGCTCTAGCCCTACAACAATGGTGGGACCGTAGAGACACTTCCTCCCACTCCTCCTCTTGTCTCTTTCCATCCTCTCCATCTTCTTCTCCTATTACCACTCCTCTCTCCCCCACTCACCCCCAAGCCCTAACCCTAAATTCACTCTCCTTCCCCAAACTTCTGACTCTAACCCCAATTTCACCTTCATCATCAAGGTCCTCACCTTCAATCGGCTTGACTCGGTAGCTCGCTGCCTACGTTCCCTTGCTGCCGCCAACCACCTCACTGACGAGGTCCATCTCCACGTCTACGTTGACCATTTTGCCCCAGGGGATGCCCCTTCAAGTTCAAACATTGATCAAAAGTTGCAGGAGTCGCATCGGATTTTGGAGTTTGTAGATGAGTTTGAGTGGAAATTTGGGAGCAAACTCGTCCATTACCGGACTGCAAATGTTGGCCTGCAGGCCCACTGGTTGGAGGCCTAGTGGCCCAACTCTGACAACGAGTTCACTTTTGTTGTGGAAGATGACTTTGAGGTCTCACCGCTGTATTACAAGTTTCTGAGAAGTCTGATCGTGAATTACTTGTTGAGAGAACTTGCCCCACTAACCTGGACAGAAGGAATACTGTACGTGGGTACAATATTCCTTGTCAGCAGACTACCACATGGTTTCAGCTCCTGTGCTCTGATGTGTTGCAGCATAGGCAGCAAGCATGCCACCTTTACAACATTTGTTTATTGCATGCGTGTGTGTAAGATGTATATAAAACAACCAACTGACTCTTCCAGCAAACACACCAAATACGAAGATCCCAGCGATCCTCTTTATCTTCATCACTCTGATCAGCCTGGAGCGATCCTCGTCACACACCCTTTGAATGACGAAAATTAATCCACTTGGAGCCGAGCCATGGTCATGGCCCTCAATGCCAAGAACAAGGAAGGATTCATCAATGGATCCATTAAAAGGCCCGAGTCTGCATCCACAAGTGAATTCCAACAGTGGACTCGTTGCAACAACCTCGTGAAATCCTGGCTGCTTAACTCTGTCTCGAAAGATATCGGAGCAAGTGTCATCTACAACAATGTTGCAGCTGATATTTGGAATGAGTTGAAGGAACGTTTCTCTCACACAAACAGTGTACATCTCTTCCATATTGAACAAGAGATACATGGAAGTGTTCAAGGAAATTTGAACATTGGTGCATATTATACCAAACTGAAAAGTTTTTGGGATGAACGTGATGCCATGTGCACTCTCCCAACCTGTACATGTGGAGCTGCAAAAGAATTAATGCAGTTTCAGCAAAGTCAGAAAATCATGAAGTTTCTCATGGGTGAATCCTACGCTGCGGTTCGTGGGCAACTTTTACTTATGGATCCCCTCCCTGTTGTCAACAAAGCTTTCTCACTTATTATTCAAGATGAGAAGCAAAGAACAGTTTCAATACATGCTCCTGGAAGGTCCTCAGTCACCGATACCGCAGCTTTCGCCGTGCGGGATAACATGCGAAACTCTGGTAGGAATTTTTCTCCAAGAAATTCCCATCTAAAATGTGGTCGTTGTGATGCAACTGGACACACTTCAGATACCTGTCGTGCACACCTCAAGTGCGACTACTGTAATTGGAGAGGTCACACCATTGATCAATGCCGCAAACTGAAAAAGGCGAAAGACAACAGCAATAGGGGAGATTATCAGGATCGCAGGGGTTCCAATTCCAAAGCTAATCATGTTGATACCCAGCCAATGCCTCCAGCAACATCTCCTTCGTCCTACAGCTTCACTTCCGAGCAATATCACAATCTGCTTGCACTCCTTGATAAGAGTCAATCCAACTCCACATCTAATCATGTCGGTACCACCTCTACTATGAATAACTTGTCAGGTAGAGTTTTTTGTGCTTCTGCTCTCAATAAGGAAAGGGACTGGATTTTCGATACAGGCGCCACAGACCACATGGTCTGCTCACCAAGCTTAATGACCACAAGTGTTCCAGTATACAATCGACAAGTGCACTTACCCAATCATGCACTTGCCGATGTCACACATATTGGCACAGTTCATCTCTCAAATGATCTCACCCTTCACAACGTGCTTTGTGTTCCATCATTTAAACTGAATTTAATTTCTGTCAGCAAACTCACTAATACCTCATCTTGCTTTGTCATCTTCACTGATAAAATGTGTCTACTTCAGGGCCAACGATCGGGGAAGATGATTGGGACGGGAACTGAATGAGAAGGACTCTACTACCTTGATAATGTGATGAAAACCAGGTGCAATTCATTGTCAATTGTTGCCTCTTCTTCTTCTCAGCGTTGGCATCAACGCCTTGGCCATCTTTCCAACAAGACCTTACGGCATCTCTCTACTTGCATTAAAAATTTGAATTTTTGTAGCATTGATGATTGTTTGATCTGTCCATTAGCCAAACAAACACGTGCTCCTTTTCCTTTGAGTTCTATCACCACAAAGGCTCCTTTTGAGTTAATTCATGTTGACATTTGGGGAGGTTACCATGTTCCCACTATCACAGGGGCACAATATTTCTTAACTATTGTGGATGATTTCTCAAGATGCACATGGGTTTATTTAATGAATCACAAATCAGATGCACGATCTTATCTCATCACTTTCATCCACCTTGTTGAAACACAATTTTCCACACGAGTCAAGGTTCTTCGTAGTGATAACGGTCCAGAATTTTTTATGACCCAATTTTTTTCAGATAAGGGGATTCTCCATCAAACAAGTTGTGTCTCTACTCCCCAACAAAAAGGGGTAGCAGAGCGCAAACACCGCCACTTACTCAATGTTGCTAGAGCCTTACTTTTTCAATCTTATTAAGTTTAATATTTGGTTGTGTTATCGATTTATTGTTGTAATGGCAGTTGGTTGTTTTATATACATCTTACACACACGCATGCATTTAAACAATTGCATGCAATAAACAAATGTTGTAAAGGTGGCGTGCTTGCTGCCCATGCTGCAACACATCAGAGCACAGGAGCTGAAACCATGTGGTAGTCTGCTGACAAGGAATATTGTACCCACGTGCAGTATTCCTTCTGTCCAGGTTAGTGGGGCAAGTTCTCTCAACACTCCCCCTCAAGTTTGGAATAAATGTTGATTATTCCTAACTTGCAAAGCAAAGTCGTAAACTGGTATAAGCTCAGTGGCTTTGTGAAGATGTCGGCTGGTTGTTTCATGGTTAAGATGTGAGATGTCTCGATCATTCCACTTTGAACCCTTTCTTGTACAAGATGGCAGTCAATTTCTATGTGTTTGGTTCTTTCGTGAAAGACCGGATTCGAAGCGATGTGAAGTGCCGCTTGATTATCACAATATAACTTGATTGGACGTTTATGTTTGATACCCAAGTCTTGTAGAACAGATTTCAACCAAGTGACTTCACAACAAGTTGCTGCCATTGAACGATACTCCGCCTCTGCACTAGAACGTGACACAGTATTTTGTTCCTTACTTTTTCAATCTCATCTTCCTAAGAAATTTTGGGGTGATGCAATCCTCACTGCCACTTATCTCATAAATCGGACTCCCACTCCTCTTCTTCAAGGCAAATCACCCTATGAAATACTTCACCACAAACAGCCAGCGTATGCACATTTGCGAGTGTTTGGTTGCTTATGTTTTTCTTCCACCCACCACCATCGTCCCACAAAATTTGATGCAAGAGCCACGCGGTGTCTTTTTCTTGGGTATCCATATGGCACAAAGGGATATCGAGTTTACGACCTTCACACGGGTAAAATCTTTATCTCCCGTGATGTTATTTTCCATGAACATGTGTTCCCTTTTTCATCTTCTGCTGCAGTTTCACCACTTGTGTTTCCACATACTCAAGATACTGCCTGTGATGATCCCATCATTCATCCGTCCATTCTACTGGAGCAGGATTCCGTCGATCCATCATCTTCTTCGCCGGTGAGTCCTGTTTCGGTTTCATCTCCTTTTCTTTCCACCTCACCACCTCGTCTTAAACGACCCACTCATGCACCTGGTTATCTTCAACAATATCACATCGACATCAACCTCCCTTCTCGGTCCGTCCCTTCATCTCACTCGGCGTTGACCAAAGTACCAGGTACTCCTTACCCTTTGTCTGATGTCCTCACATACGATCGTTTATCTGCTCAACATCGTGCTTTCACCACTTCCATTTCAGCTGCCATAGAACCTAGCTCATTCTCACAGGCTATATGCGACCCTCACTGGCGTTTCGCTATGGAAGAAGAACTGGCAGCCCTTGCTGCGAATAGGACATGGTCTCTGCAACCATTGCCCCCTGGCAAGAAGCCGGTTGGATGTAAATGGGTTTACAAAATCAAATTTCGATCTGATGGATCCATTGAGAGATATAAAGCACGCTTGGTTGCCAAAGGTTATAGCCAAATTGAAGGCTTAGACTATCGAGAGACCTTTGCTCCGGTTGCAAAATTGACTACAGTTCGTCTACTCCTTGTTGTTGCCTCGGTCCAACAATGGCACCTCCACCAGCTTGATGTTAATAACGCTTTCCTCCATGGTGATCTTGAAGAAGATGTCTACATGTCCTTGCCTTCTGGTTTCGGACGAAAGGGGGAGACACGAGTTTGTAAACTTCATAAATCTTTGTATGGGCTTAAGCAAGCCTCTCGTCAATGGTTTATCAAACTCTCTTGTGCTCTTAGAAAGGCCGGTTATCAACAATCCAAGGCAGATTATTCATTGTTCTTCCGAAACCATGATGGTAAATTCACTGCCCTCCTTGTCTATGTTGATGATATTATCTTGGCAGGAAATAACATTACCGGACTGCAAATGTTGGCCTGCAGGCCCAATGGTTGGAGGCCTGGTGGCCCAACTCTGACAACGAGTTCACTTTTGTTGTGGAAGATGACTTGGAGGTCTCACCGCTGTATTACAAGTTTCTGAGAAGTCTGATCGTGAATTACTATTACAATGCCTCTAACTATCGTCCCTACATCTACGGGGCATCGCTGCAGCGACCAAGGTTTGTCCCAGGTACCATCCTATTTTGTTTTCTTTGTTTGTTATTCTTCTTTTTTCTAATTTAGTTGCCCAAAAAGGAAAATGTAAAAGGGTTTATGGTTAGAGCTAGTACTGGATCTCTTCTACTTTAAGCATTGTCTGATACCTGAATCTGATCTCGTTGGTGTGGATTATCCAAGAATGTTGTAAGATACTCGTTTGCATGATTGTATTAGGCAAAGGAAAATCAAATTTAAATTTCAGTTTTGGAATATTTGGATTTGAATGAATTTGTAGCTTGCCATATTTCTTTTTCATTTTTATTCATGAAAACAAATGGAAAAGAAACGGAGAACCTATTTATTCGATTTGTTGTTGGCTTATGGGTAGCAAACTAGAATTGGATTTGTTGTTTGCTTATAGGTAAACACGGGAACAAACTACAAATGAATGATACAACACGACTCTTCTTGTACCAACTAGTTGGCACCTGGGGTCAGCTTCTCTTTCCTAAACCTTGGAAAGAGTTCAGGGTGTGGTATGACAATCACAAGGCAAAAGGCATTAAGCCATTTCTTGATGGCATGGTACTTTGTTACTTCTAAAAATTCGATTTCTAGATTTTTTTTCTTTTCTAATTTTAACTTTTTATTATCTCGCTCATTCCTCAGTTGAGATGATAAATTCATGTGCAGGTGACGACAGGGTGGTATAAAAAGATGGGAGAGAAGATATGGACACCTTGGTTCATTAAATTCATTCATACTCGTGGCTACTTTAATATCTACACCAATTTTTTGCAAGAGAGAGCGCTTAGCGTCTCTCACAGGGATGCTGGTGTTAATTATGGGAAAACAGCTGGGCCTGATTCCCACATACTGAATGAAAGTTCTCTTGATTCGGATTTTTGGGACGTGCAACCGTTGAGTGATCTTAAGTGGTATGATTTTTGTTTCAGAGAAATATTTCCCGACACAGTTGTTGGGAGCTTTGATGAACTCGGGTCTGTTTAATTCTGTGCAGAAACATGACACTGTTATCATAGTGAGCCTATTTGGGGTATCCGAGCTGGCAATAAGGAACTTGTTCTGCCACTTTGAGAGGCTAAATATATGGCACTATGTACTTGTTGGCCCCGAATCTGATTTCATGTTTGATCTGGCAAGAAGAGGATATCCGGTGATTGGTACAAACCAGTTTCTGAAGAGTGTAGGAGCTTACAAATCGATGTCTCTCCAAGATTCATATGCAGAAATGATCAAGGCCTATGTATTAAGAAAGTGTTTAGAATCTAGGTACAATGCCTGGGTGGTGGACGGGAACATGCTTCCTGTCAGTAGTGACCTTTTTGTTGAGTCTGATCCCTCATACGATTTCTACATAGGGAAGAGCTCGGAACTTTTCTTTGCCCGTAGATCTTTCGCTCAGAATGTTGATGGTGATGATTTTATATCCAAATTTGCAACAATGGCGAACTCGTTGCTAGTTAAAAGGCAGAGCATAAGTTTTGGTTTCATAATGACAAAGCTTTTGGAACAGAAGGGTGTGAAGGTCAAGAGTCTCGACGAGACAAGCTTCGGTCTCAAGATCGATTACAGTAATGTTAATCAATCATTGGGGGATGGAAAACAGATGGTATTTTGGTCTAGTGATACGGCTTCAGATTTAGTTCAGAAGCGGCTTCAAGAATTGGGTATTTGGATTGTAAATAATGACTTGTCTTGCAAGGCTGTTGTTTGTCATCAGTCATAGCGTCTGATCTGATATTATACACATTATCTTGATTTCATTGTAACCTATACGTAGCCATTTGCTTTTTGGTTCTGTTTAAGCTCTTAATTGTCTTGTGCCCAATTTTTTCCCAGGTATGATTTTCATTTACCAAGTTTTCTACGATTTAGATGTAAGCATCCATGGTTGAAAGGCAAAGATGAACAAAGAAATACATCGGTCACAAATCTTGAAGATTCATATCCACTTTTTGGGAGTATATATTTTCGATTATTTATTTATTTATTTATTCAAAGGATGACTAAAACTTAGAGAATGAAAGCCATGAACCTCACCGTACATTAAAAAAATAAAATAAAATAAAAAAACCTAATTTCATCTAACATGCATATTATGGATGTCAAGAGATTAGGTGGTGAGCATCACTATTATGTTACAAGATTGTCATGTGTTACAAGGCTAGATAATATATTGAATTGTAAGTAATTTTTAAATTCACTTATCAAAAATTCAACAGAGTCATAGTTACTATCGAAAAAACAAAGAAAATCTTATGCAGTGTTGTTCATGTCATGAGACTTGTTAAATGAAAGAATAATTAAAAGTGGGTGATGTGTACTCTTGTTCTCATCAAATATAAATATACTAACTTCTAACTTAACTGTATTATCTAGGGCTGGGCACGGGCCGGGCCGGGCCCAAATTTGGAAGAACCGGACCTACCCGTTTTAAAATGTAACGGGCCGGGCCGGGCCGGGTGTAGGGATTTTAAGTTTGGGAACCGGACCTAACTCGGCCCGTATCAAACGGGCCGGTTCGGGACGGGTCCACGGGTCCAATAACTTTTTTTTTTTTTTTAATCTGGTTATTGGGCATACTAAGATTTAACCGGACCTTCCTGCTGCATATTTCAAGTATCGAACACAGTTATATTCCACTCTCACAACGTATATGAACGTTTACTTTTATACTCAAACTACATAATTGAAAGGCAGACATAAGGTGTGACAATATTTACCGATTTCTGTGAAGAATTTGAACGGAAACTATCAATAATCTTTCGAGAAAAACTATTTGATTGGAGAGTGCTCTGGAGAGAGTTCTTTCTAGAAGGACCTGAGTTAATCCGCAAGCTAGGTTTCAGAAACTCTTGAAGCTCATACTTTGACCTACATGAATATGTGACTACTTTAAACATCTGAAAAATAACCCAACAATTGAATCTGCTCCATGGTAGATTCTAGAATTCTATATCATAACTAACCGGATGAATTTTGAACGTTCCTCATGACCGGCATCTGGTCCAGGCTTTGAAAGTCCCTCAGGAATAAAAGCCTCGTAAATTGAATTAGCAGAAGAGTTTCCTCCAACTTCTATCATTGCATCAATTTCATTATCGGACCATTCATCCAGGGTCACTGACAAAACATATAATTGTAATAATGCACACGACTGGAGACATCACGTCAGCATATAGAAAACATAAAATAATAATGAATATTGATCAATTAAGCAACATTTGACAGATCACCGAGCAAGCCTGAAATAGTTCTACCATGCCTGTCATCCTAGAAACGAAAGAAGGAAAGCCAAAGAGAGATTTTTTTGGTAAAAGGACTGAAATAAACTTTCCCAGTTTCCTTGCATTGCAACTCAAACAACCAAGGATGAACAATCAAATGAACTTCCTTGATGAAAGCAGATTGGGATCAATCAGTTATTTCGTTCACCGAGTTACAAGTTCCCTTTTGGTCAGTGGATTTTGTATCTTTTAATCTTCTTTTACCATCTTTCACCAAAACACCCAAACTAACAAATCACTTAGCACCAACATCATGTAGCAGGGATAAGCCTTATGGAAGTTTTTTTTTCTAGCAAAAACTGTTGAATCCCACATTGGTCATACAAAAAGAAAAGTAATAGTTGAAATATCCTAACCCCACTCTAACTAACACCGAGACCTTTTGTGATAAAACCCCACACCTGACGGATTGTGCAGGTGGTAATTACCAAGTTAGGGACAATATCGGTGTTATTAGAAGTGGGCCATATGGCCCATCTCTCTGATATTTCTACATGGTATTAGAGCAGAGATCCTAGGATTTCTGCTTTGCCCGTTCCCTCAAGCAAACTCAGCCCTCCCACGAAGAACCTACCACCACTCCACGATGGAAACAATTTCATCCTAACCGATCCTACCCCTATAATAAACACTACTACCCTAACTAATCCTACAATGAATCCTCCTATTTCGAGTTCTTCCGACATGCCTCCAGAGTCCTCAGGTAACTATGGTTATGCTTTTAATATGAATAATTGTGATACTCAATCCGATTGGATTATTGACTCCGGTGCCACAGATCATATGACCTACGACCCCACTGATTTATCTTGTGATACTGTTCCACTTCGACGAAATATTACTAATGCTAATGGTGTTACCTCATCGGTAACTGGTGCTGGCACTGTACGCCTCACGCCTACCCTCTCTTTGCGGCATACACTACTTGTACCTTCACTAAAGCATAAATTAATGTCTCCTGGCCAAGCTACTGAGCAATTGAATTGTTGTGCACTATTGTATCCGAAGTTTTGTCTTATTCAGGATATTCTCACGAAGGAGATAATTGGTCGTGGTACTAAGAAGGGGGATCTCTATTTTGTGGACGATGTCAGTACAAGACAGGTCAATCTCGCCCAAAGAGCCGTTGATCACAAACGGCGTCAAATATGGTTATGGCATCACCGTTTGGGTCATCCGTCTTTCAGTTATTTACAACATATGTTTCCTAATTTATTTGTTGGTTGTTTGGTTTCAAACTTTAAATGTGACACTTGCGTACTTGCCAAGAGTCACCGTGTCTCTTATCCGTTGAATTCTAATAAAAGTGATATTCCTTTTGGTCTTGTTCATTTGGATGTTTGGGGACCATCTCTGATTACTACTTTATCTGGTATTAGGTGGTTTGTAACGTTCATAGATGATTGCACACGGATGACATGGTTATACCTTCTTAAGCATAAAAGTGATGTGTTGCTGGCATTTAAGACATTCCACACCATGGTTCAGACACAGTTTTCTACTAAAATCCGGATTTTGCGTTCTGATAACGGTGGTGAATATGTTAATAATGATTTTACACATTATTTAACTAATCACAGAATCCTCCATGAGACTACTTGTCCTTAGACTCCTCAACAGAATGGGGTGGCTAAGCGCAAAAATCGTCATCTATTAGAAACAGCTCGATCGCTATTGATTGGGGCGGATGTTCCCCGCTCCTCTTGGGATGTTGCTCTTCAGACTGCCACTTACCTTATCAACCTATGCCATCCAAAGTATTGAATTTTCTTACACCTTTGCAAGTTCTTGCTACACTCGTGCCTCTACCGTCCATTTTGGTGCTCCCACCGCGAGTTTTTGGATGTGTTGCCTTTGTTCATCTACATAAAAATCAACGGGCAAAACTTGACCCATGTGCTCTCTGGTGTGTTTTCATGGGGTATGGATTACATTAGAAAGGGTACCGTTGTATACTACCATGGATGTTACTTTTTCCGAGTCTGAGATGTATTACTCTTCAGCTTCTTCCAACCCTCCTCTTCAGGGGGAAACACTGCATAACGAACAGGTTTGGACCATGGCTGCTGCTACCATTGATCTTCCGTTGCCACTATTAACCGAGCCCGTAGTGGCTACACTGCCAGCCCAGCCAACAAAAGCAGCATCGTTGCCCACAGAACTAGGAGCAGGCACTGCAGTGTCGTGCTCACCCACAGCAACTGATAGAAGCATATTTATGCTACTTAGTTATGTTGTTTCCTTGCATTTAGTTAGTTAATTACTATTTATTTTAGTCTTTTAAGCTATTTTCGTATGTTTTTAGGTCCTAATGGCAAAAGGAGCAAGAAAGGGCATTTTGAAGCTAAATGGAGCAATTTTGGGCATGGATTGGATAGCTTAACCATGGAGCAAAGAGGATGGACGAAATTGAAGTCAAGAAGGGCTAGGAAAGCTAAAAATCTGGAGAGAGGAGTCCAAATGCAAAGAAGATAAGGAAATAGCAAGAAATAAGGAACCTTATCCAAATTTCCTTATCTTATCCAAACCTTATCCAACCTTATCTTATCTTATGCTATCCTAATCTTTTCCTACCTTAATCCCAACTTCAAAGAGGACTCCTTTTCACATTAAATCACCTAAATATCAAGTTCTAGAAGCCCTATTTTCGTGCATTAAGTTTATGCCACATGTAACCCTTCTAGAAGTTCTAGAATCTGCCACAAGGACCATTCCTTGTCCTCCTTGGAATCTGATTGAAAGTGTCCTTGTTCTTTGGTGATTTGGAGTCCTAATTCCTCTCCTTTTCAGCCCAATTTCGTGCCTCCCCTTCACCCTATAAATACATGATGCCACAACACTCAAAAACCACCACCTTCTACCACAAATTCACACCACACCATCCACCACACCTCAAGAGCCTAAATTCACACAAATCCCCATTGTTGGCAGCAAGGAAGGAAGGAGGAGCCACCTGGAGTGTTTCTAGGTGTATTCTATCTTTATTTTTAATGTTTAAGTTTAATTATCTTTGTTTTGCGAACATGTGGAACTAATTTCTTTTTAGTTAGAGGTGAATTTGAAGCCATGATTATATGTTTTATATGAATTGATTATATCCAGTTATTGTTTCTTGAGTCTTGAATGTGATTTGCTTATCTAAGTTATTAAAACTTGTTTATGTATGTGGGTTGGGGGTCGACACTTAATTTGCATGCATGAATTTGATGCTAGAGTATAAGAGGGTCTCACGTAATAGTTATTCACTTATATTCACAAGTAGTGGAGGTTGCTAGTCACAATCGTGTTAAGTAAATCCTTGGTATAAGTCACATGCGTTTCATAGTGATGAATGCCTTGTCAATGCTTATGATTTTCATAGAACTTAATGACTTTTGACATGTATCTCTATCATACGTTTCATATAGGGAACTTAAGAAAGATAATTTGGTTTAGATGCGTATTCCATCTAATTCAATGAAATAAGGAAAATCTGATGGTTAGTTGTGCGATGCAACTAACTTGGGGCGTTTTCATTCATAGTCTA